GTATTGACACAATATGTGATTGGGCTGACACAAAGCCTCGGAAAGGAAATTTCGTTGAAGGTGAGCGTGTTTTTAATGCCAATCACATTATAAAATTCGGAAATAACAAATCCGGAAGCTAGCCTTCAAACTTCTGATTTAAAAAGTGATTCACGTTATATAATTGGTGAGGTGATTCTGGGTGATTTAAGCAATATCATATCAATGAATTTTTTTATATTGCAGCTGGTAGGTTCTTAACCACAAAATAATTATATCGTGTCATTAGAATTGTGTTAAATCAATTACACAGGAATAAATAATTTCTCACTTTATAATTTTAGTACGATTCTAGTTTTAAATATTAAGGTTATGGCTGATGGTAAATACTTGCTGAAATATAATCATGTGCATTAAAATGACGTGAACAAATTCTTATTCCGGAATTTATTTCTTTGATACCTACTGCTTTCATCCAAGCTTCTATTAGTTTACTTTTTTCTCTAATTTTCCGAATATATTTTTTACATATATAAAACGGTTAGTTTTTATTGGAAAGTAGTTAATGTAGGCGAACAGTGAAGATCTATGTCTAAAGTGCTATTGATGCTTTTCACTGAACATATTAACTTTAATATTTGATTTAACTTTAGAAGAAAACTCCATCATCAAAAAAATTTTTACTTTTTTAACGTGTTTTTACAATTACAATTTGCGTGCACAATTCCTATGTAAATTTTTCCCTCATTCGAGTTATAAATTTTGCCATCAGATGGTGTATGCCCATTTGACGGATCCCAATTGAACTATTGTTTTTTTTCTTCAGATTGTAACCTATGGCTTTCGTCTGATAAATCCGACCTCTCGTCCGATGACCTGCCTTCAATCGAAGACTGCCAGATCTGGCTGTTGGATCATCATGTCAAAAAAGGTGTAGTTCTGGAACTGTCTCGTTTGAACGTCCCCTGTTCTAGGGGTTACCTGCTATTCTCAGGGGTGCAAAGTCACTATGCCCGTAACAAACGCCAGAAAAAGCTCTGTGGTAAAATAGAACAAGTCCCCGTTTCCGAACGTAACCTCTACTTCTCCCCATCGTCCTTCCCCGCAACCCTAAATCTCCGCGGATCCCCCATATTCTCCCTCATCTACGGATTAGTCGATCAATGTTACAATTTAACCTTCCTGACTAAAAACGGTAGCTACCATCTCTACGCAACTCCTGAGCTGGAATGCACCTTCAAAATCCATCTGCCCTACGGCAACAGGATCATTCTGGACATGGAAATCGGGAACGTGTCTATCGGAGCGTGTAAAGGGATCCTGACAGAAGTATACGACGGAAAAAGTTCCTGGACTCACTGTATCGATTCGGGACAACGCGATAATAATAAGAAAAGTGTTTCTCGAATTGTGTCCGCGGAAAACAAGTTGGAGATCCGAGTGTCCGCGTTGGGCGTTGAAAGTGACGGTCTCGAGTTCCAAATGTCCTATGTTGCCGAACCGGTGGAGGACATTGTCGGTCCGTGCGAATTCGGTTGGATCTCTTTGAATCACATGTGCGTTACGGTAGTGGAATCCAACAAGGTGACTTGGGCTCAAGCCGAAGATTCGTGCGTGAAATTGGGAGGACACCTGGCAAGCATCACCAATGATTTCACCGAATCCGTGATCGACAATCTCATTTTAAACAGGTAAAATAATTGTCATTCACTCGTTATGTAATATTATTATAATAAGTTACTTCTGTTCTATTCTCGCCAAAAGATCTGGGAGGGTGGACCCTTTAGGTCACCTTCTGAAGCCCAAGAAACTAAATACCTCCGGTTTTCTTCCAACTCTTTTTTGGATTCGAACTGTTCCAAAAGCAGTATGAGAAGCCTGAGGTCATGTTACCAACTTTCGACATCTGAGAAATATTTGCTCTCATATTATCTTTCCTTCTTCTTTTCGTTTATTGGGTTCTACTAGTACAATTGTTTCAAACAACATCACATCATTCAAACATCAATTTTTAGATTTCTTCTTTATTCAACTTAAGAAAAATCCCAAAAACTTTACAATGAGTTCCTCCTTGTACCTTGTAAATGCCTTGTAAAGAATTCTTGTGCGTTTTCATACCGAAATTGCCCAAGAACTTGTTCTTAACCAAAAATTTTCCTAAAAGCCCGAAAGTGCATTTTCATTCTAAAAGCTATCAGCCAGTTTGTGAAGAATTCTCAAACATCATTGCCTAAAAATCATCGTAAAAACTCCAAAGTTTATCACAATTTTCGTAAAGGATCCAATTTTTATGAACGTTTTCATAAATTCTTCAGTATCAAACCTTTCAGGTGATAAATCACACCATACCTTTAGCTCAAAAGCTTCCCAAGCATTTAATAAAAATTCTTTCCAAATCCACAATTCAAAACTCTCCAAAACATTTTGTAAAACAATCTGAACTCAAGAAAACCTTGTTAGGTTTTTCAAGTTATCTTGCATTTTTTACATCCAAGATGCAACTTATTTTCATTTTATTTCTTACTTTTAAAGTTGCGAGTTCTAACAGTTCCAAACATTGCAAATATCATTCTCAGTCTATTTCGCCCAAAAACCCAACATCCTCTAATTCGCTCCACGTGTCACCCCTTTGGCATATAGAATTTATTCGCCAAATGACGCACCCGATCATTTTTCTTTTCATACGTAACACGTGGCATCAAACGGCCGCTTCCGGGGTTTTCCCTTAATGGATTTCGTCAATCAACGAATGCTCCTCGGAGGTAACCGGAGCCACTTACTTCGTTCCTTCATCTCATCCTTCAGCCGAACAGTCGAGAGACGTAATATCATTAGGTTATCGGAAATGATGGAGAAGACGTTTGGCAGCCTGCTTTCCAAATCCGAGCACGTCGTGAATGTATATGTATCCAATATAAGGAGGGAGGATAACGATTAAGAAATTTTAATGGTAACCAACCGTGGAAATTAAAGGCAGAAAATCATTTGTTTCGGCGGTAATGAAATTTTAAATTACAGACCAGGAATTCGCGTTTAAGAAAGGAAACTAATGGTTGCTGTACAGAGGAAATTTGTTACTGAAAATGCTCCCTCATTCGCCCATTAGCCCTTGTTCATCCACCCAGCGATTTCGTCGTCAATTATTGTTTTAGCTACTCGATTCCGTTGTTTCAGTCGTCACTGTAAAACTCTTTTTGTGTCAGGTCACTATTTTTTTTATCATGTGGAATCTTTTTATGCCAGGTGAACGTACGAGAAATGGGAAATCGATAGAGGTCAAGTATCCGCAGGTACCTACCTACTCCGAATTCCTTTGCGGTTTCTGGAGAGACTGCCGTCGCAAAAATGAGTGGAAAGAACGAAATATATGTACAAGATACCGACAAAGAAAAGAATTAGAGATTGTTAGGATTTTCCGTCCTCTTCTTCAGATTTAAGGATCTTAATCCAATATCATAGGTGTTTTTTGTCCTCTTTTTAATATGTAATTGCCTGCTCCTAATCTCCGAGACGCACACGAGTATATCTTCAAAGTCTTAGAGAGAAAACTAATCCAAACTAGATAAGTGCCATTAAACAAAGGCACGTCTGAGAGCAATTACAAAACCGAACTTGGTACAAAGTAAACTCGCTAGACTGATATTTGTATCTTCTTTTCCTTATAATTTAACTGACAATGACAACAAAACTTTTCTTTCTTCAAAGCAAAAGCTTTTTAGTTGCTTGTTGCAAAATATTCGTGTAAATTAATTACTTATGTAAAGAATTTTTTACATTTTCAATCCAAAAGCAATCAGCCACTTAGGAATTCTCAAACATTTATGCCCAAAATTCTTCTTAAAATCCCGAANAAATATAATCATGTGCATTAAAATGACGTGAACAATTTTTTTTTCCGGAATTCACTTCTTTGACACCTACTGCTTTCATCCAAGCTTCTATTAGTCTACTTTGTTCTCTAATTACCGAATATATTTTTTACATATATAAAATGTTAGTTTTTATTGGAAAGTAGTTAATGTAGGCGAACAGTGAAGATCTATGTCTAAAGTGCTATTGATGCTTTTCACTGAACATATTAACTTTAATATTTGATTTAACTTTAGAAGAAAACTCCATCATCAAAAAAATTTTTACTTTTTTAACGTGTTTTTACAATTACAATTTGCGTGCACAATTCCTATGTAAATTTTTCCCTCATTCGAGTTATAAATTTTGCCATCAGATGGTGTATGCCCATTTGACGGATCCCAATTGAACTATTGTTTTTTTTCTTCAGATTGTAACCTATGGCTTTCGTCTGATAAATCCGACCTCTCGTCCGATGACCTGCCTTCAATCGAAGACTGCCAGATCTGGCTGTTGGATCATCATGTCAAAAAAGGTGTAGTTCTGGAACTGTCTCGTTTGAACGTCCCCTGTTCTAGGGGTTACCTGCTATTCTCAGGGGTGCAAAGTCACTATGCCCGTAACAAACGCCAGAAAAAGCTCTGTGGTAAAATAGAACAAGTCCCCGTTTCCGAACGTAACCTCTACTTCTCCCCATCGTCCTTCCCCGCAACCCTAAATCTCCGCGGATCCCCCATATTCTCCCTCATCTACGGATTAGTCGATCAATGTTACAATTTAACCTTCCTGACTAAAAACGGTAGCTACCATCTCTACGCAACTCCTGAGCTGGAATGCACCTTCAAAATCCATCTGCCCTACGGCAACAGGATCATTCTGGACATGGAAATCGGGAACGTGTCTATCGGAGCGTGTAAAGGGATCCTGACAGAAGTATACGACGGAAAAAGTTCCTGGACTCACTGTATCGATTCGGGACAACGCGATAATAATAAGAAAAGTGTTTCTCGAATTGTGTCCGCGGAAAACAAGTTGGAGATCCGAGTGTCCGCGTTGGGCGTTGAAAGTGACGGTCTCGAGTTCCAAATGTCCTATGTTGCCGAACCGGTGGAGGACATTGTCGGTCCGTGCGAATTCGGTTGGATCTCTTTGAATCACATGTGCGTTACGGTAGTGGAATCCAACAAGGTGACTTGGGCTCAAGCCGAAGATTCGTGCGTGAAATTGGGAGGACACCTGGCAAGCATCACCAATGATTTCACCGAATCCGTGATCGACAATCTCATTTTAAACAGGTAAAATAATTGTCATTCACTCGTTATGTAATATTATTATAATAAGTTACTTCTGTTCTATTCTCGCCAAAAGATCTGGGAGGGTGGACCCTTTAGGTCACCTTCTGAAGCCCAAGAAACTAAATACCTCCGGTTTTCTTCCAACTCTTTTTTGGATTCGAACTGTTCCAAAAGCAGTATGAGAAGCCTGAGGTCATGTTACCAACTTTCGACATCTGAGAAATATTTGCTCTCATATTATCTTTCCTTCTTCTTTTCGTTTATTGGGTTCTACTAGTACAATTGTTTCAAACAACATCACATCATTCAAACATCAATTTTTAGATTTCTTCTTTATTCAACTTAAGAAAAATCCCAAAAACTTTACAATGAGTTCCTCCTTGTACCTTGTAAATGCCTTGTAAAGAATTCTTGTGCGTTTTCATACCGAAATTGCCCAAGAACTTGTTNACATGCCTATCTGTCTACTTTTATTTGTTATTTAGTACTTAGGGAGTATTAGAAAGAGTAGAAGAACACAGGGCGTTACAGAAGTCAACATGAAATTCTCTCTTCTCAAACATTAAGGAAAGTCATTAAAGTCACAATTGAAGCAGAAACAGGAGTTAAAAGAGCTAAAAGTACGAGGGCGGTTCAATAAGTATCCGTGTTTGAAGACAGTGGACGTTCCTGAGGGAAATTGGTGTTGCCATCTATCAAACCACGCCAAAACGAATTTCAGACTGATTGATAAGTTAGTTTGGATTTGACAGCCATTCGACTGAGACGTGTTTCGTTATTTTCGATAAGATGGAAAAAGAGCAGTATCGTTTGGTAACTCGCTTTTTGTTTTTGGATGGGAAAAAATGCGAAGAGATGAAAACAAAGTTGGATACTGTTTATGGAGACATTTCGCCATCTACGACCACAGTTAGATATTGCTTCAACGAATTTAAACGTGGGCAAAGATCCGTTTTTGATAGGAACGACCAGGAAGCCTGGCAAACGTTGTTACCTAGGAAATAATTTTACGGATTTTTTNTCAGTTCTGCTTCGTATTACCAACGATAAACGTCAACTTCACGCCTGAAATGTTTATTAAGCGGGCAGCTGTAAAATTGAATTTAATGTGTGCATTACCCGAACATGTATATAATATAGCTTTATATCTGCTTCGGGCATGTGAACGCTGGTTGTAAAGTTTAACCTAAAAAAAAAAAATGGGGCTTTGCAAGCACATGTACCCTTAAAACAATTACCTCATTAGTATAAAATTATTTTGGGACGTGGTGTATGTATGTATGTATGTATGTATGTATTAGACGACAATAGCAGTGTGCTTGTAAGAGATTATCTAGGGGCTTGACAAATAAATTACAACCTAGTTAGAGATTGTATGGATTAGTCTAAAGGCCGCTCATATTCTGGTTGGATGCAACTCCAAAAGCTTGGAGCTTTAGCGCCCGACTTAATTGACCCAAATCCAACATTTATGTCGCCTAAATCAAGATTTGCGAAACTGCACTATCTTTCCATATGTGTTAGTTTGCGCATGTATCATCATTATATGTATACCTGTACATAATACAATATTTACCTACACGGTTTAGAAGCTTAGCAATAAACAATTAGCGCCTTACGATCATCTCAATCAACGAAGAAATCATTTATCCTGCTACACATGACCCTTAAAGGGATCATAAAATCCATTTATCGCAGTGCCATGCGAAGTCGGTTACGCACAAAAAATTAAATTCAAACTACGAGAAAACTTTTAAAATCCTACCTTTACTGCTTATTTGTAGTCCACTGGAGGGAGGAGGAGTTGAAACTATTAGTCCAAATAACACCACCGATTACACTACACACCGACACTGAAATAAAAAAAATAGTATTAATATTTACAGTATAGATGGAAAATTCATTTAACTTTTTATCCACTGGAAATTACTTCTAATTAATGAAGGAAAAAATTGTTGCTGCTGTTACATCCTCGCAGGGAATAGAACCCGGGACCTTTAGGTTTACGTACCAACGCTTTAACAGCTAAGCTACGAAAGGTGACAGCAACAACAACGACAAAACGTATTTATCAGATCACAAATGCGTCAAACTAATGTACATATATTAATTGATTAATTTGACAGAAAGATAATTTATAGTGGATCAAAATTAAATTAATTTTTACATTAATATTGAAAGCATTTCATATAAATATTGACAAATTCATACATTAGGTACACTAAAAAGAAGCAAAATATTATATTTTAAGTTTTTAATTAGGAATATATTTTTCATTTCATTGCCCCCTTAGGTCTGTTCTGCGGTTTGACAAAATGCGAACTGAACCCGTGCATCTTCGGCACCTGCGAACTGACAGGGAACAATTATAAGTGCCACTGCGAGCAGGGTTACAACGGGCCCAACTGCGAGTCGAAACAGAAACCGTGCGAGAACAACCCCTGCGAGAACCGGGGCGTGTGCATCGAAAAGGGCACCAATTTCCACTGTCAATGTCACGCGTGGTGGGAAGGTCCGAGGTGCGACAAGCGAATGTTACACATACCGTTCAAACCTCTCAGTCAACGTATGCTGGAGGAACCTTTCTGGCTGGGACTTATCACCGTCACCGTCGTCATGGGAGTGATCGGACTCTTCTGGTGCGCCAAGAGACATTTCCCGGAGAAAATTGAAAAGCTACTGGCCGAGGAAAGCGAACGGAGTCGCAGTAATCGTAAGCACCTTTCTGTTGTCATGAAATAATCCAATTCAATTCGTTGTTCCTTTAGTTCCATCGTTGAGAACGTCGCTGAGAGAACAACTGGCAGCTTCGAGTGCGTCAACTGTGACGGTGATACCTAGCCCAGGTTCAGGCAATCCCCGTACCCTGTTGGGCAGATTTGGTATTCGCAAGCCTTCGATCCTTAGCCTCACCAGCCCACGCCAGAACGGCTATTCTCCGGCCACGGCTCGAACATTTAGTTTGGACGATTTACTTAAGCCAGCTAGACGTAAGACGATGCTACGGCTTAAGTGGTCTCCGTGGTGGTGCTTACCCCTCCCCCTTTACACTACACTTATTAAATAAATAAACAAGGACATGCCAGAAAGTAACACTTACTGCTGCAGTATCTCTGGCATCTCCTACTTTAACACATACGATACTTTTGATGTTGTCTTTCTCTCTCTATCTCTTTCAAAATGTGTCCAATTGCGTACTAACTCTGTCTCCCTCTCTGTTTTTTCTTTCACACTTTCTATTGCGTGTGGCTGGTAGGTGCACATTTAAATGTTGTTACTGTAGTAGAAGAGCTTTGCATTCGAACTGCTTCCAACACTCGCTAAAGTTAATGAAAGCCCTGTTCTCACTCGCATTACACAGTGAGAAGAGAGCCGTGGAACTTAAACGCCATATTGTCACTTTCACGTCTTAGGTACGCCGTCGCCTAGAAAACGAAACAACTCGACGCCCACGAAGAAAAACAACGCGGAGAAGAAGCAAATACTCCAACAACTGATGACGTCGTCGACGGGTGCCCAGGAGGCCGCCAGAGAATCGATACAGATGACTGAAAGACGAGCGGATCCAAAGGCTGAGAGTAAAGGTAACGACGTAAAGGAAACGAAACTAACAGAAAGCACCACCGCGAACGTCGGCGATCCGAAACTAGAAAAGAAGGTGACGTTTGCTAGATTGCTGAACAAAATATCTGCGGAAATGAGTTCCGCTTCAGATGTCGAAATGGGAATACTGAAGTCTGGAAAGATGGCGAGTATGTTCACTAGGTCGTCAAGTACTCCACCATCCCCTATCACCGAGATGAGATCCCCAAACAGCACGTCTAGTAACCAAGGAAGTGACACGTACTCGAGTTCGGACCTTGCGATTCCGTTAACGTTGAGTTACAACGTTTCCGAGTTCTTGTGCGGTCGGAAACAAAAGCCTGCTAGTGCCGATTCGATTTTGGCGATGTTTCGAAATTTTTCTTCCGCATCTTCCTGTAACAATAACTGGCCTTCTTCTTTAAAACCGTCCCCCAGTACGACGCCGACGATTTCCAGTCCCCAAGACGACTACGCCATCGATGAAGACTCGACTTCGTCCATAAACACCCCCATTTCTTACGCAAGCGTCACTCTGGACAGCCCCTCGAAACATTCCAGGATGTCCGGTACCATAGACGTGCCAGTTTTCGACGCCCTAAGCGCCCAAAAGTGTACAAGCGGCGGTGGAAGCAACCTTCTTCATCCTCCAACGATCCTGTTGGAGATACCTAGCACAATCAACAAGTGCCTTTCTCCCATTCGGGAGATGCCAACTCCGTTGCCATCCCCCATGCCTTCTCCCGCACTCACTCCCATCATGCACCGTTCCAAAGCATCCTCTATCAACGACATTAGTGTTGACAGTAGCGACGATAAGTTCTCATTGGACATTCCAAATATCAACGTGAGCGACGAGGACGACTTTAGGTTTAACAAGGACACAGTTATAGATCCACAAGCCGAAGACGGATTAATCCAAGAAGAAGCTGCTGCCTTACAACTTAAATCTTCTAAGGTATTTGAAGCAATATTTCTCGACTCCAAATGTCGATGTCTAATTATTTCGGTTTTGTTGTCCAGGTTTCCGAAATTTCTCAAGCCGAGTTACAGCATCCAACAACTACATCAACAAACACCTCCCCGCAGAAACAGCCCTTGGTTATTCCGATGCTTACAGTACAAATGCCTTCGCCTACTCATCATACGTCACCTCGACTTGTGTTGGATTCGCCACCTCCCCAGAAGTCACCCTTCATCAATATCGACGAATGTCCGGACGGTACACCCGGCCACTGTCGAAAATCATTGAAAGATTTGGATAAGCCCAGCTCGCTAGACTTAATGTGCACTCCACCGATGATAACCATCACTTGTAACATGAGCGAAGTGGAATCGGACGCAGAGTCGATTTCGCCAGCGATTAAAAAGACTCATCATCTTGGTTCCGGAACGTCCACCATGTGTTATCTAAGTCCTTTCGCGCTTGGTCAACGAAACGACAGAACAGTTTCGGAATCGAATCTTAGTTCGTCAGGATACAGTTCCATGGCCAGTCCGGGTTCTTCACGTTGCGGCTCTAACAACCCCTTGTGTCCTTCGGAAATTGACGATCCGAGTCTTCATTCATATCATCCCATCCTAGGTCAGAAGACGTCCCGCCTTAAGTCTGTTCCACCTTTAGACAACTTCCCAAAACCCAACGAGGTGAGGGTTGCAAGAAACGTGCGGGAAATATCCGATTCCGAAACGTTATCGGACGATCCCTTGGTCGAATCGAACGACGAAGGTATCGGTACAGACCACATAGACGAGAAAATAGACGAGGGAGAGGTGAAAAGTGCTAAAGAGCTTGAAGTGTTCATAACAAGCGATTGTGATAGTACGAAAACGTTGTTAAAAGTTCCGTCAATTACTAATTTAAGCGCTAAATGTTGTAGTCTAGAGACCAACATGGACCTGTTGATGCCTCCTAGTTCGAAGAAATCGTTATACTTGCCTTCCATCGTTATCCAGTCAAGTGATACTAGCAGTCTCTGCGAGAAACACCTGAGTCCGGTTAGTTCGCGAAGTGAGAGTCCGTTAAGTGACAAAACCACCGGCGGTATCGAGCGTTTTTCGCCACAATTTTACGGCAGAAACAAAGACTCATTGCCATTCACAGACTCCGATGGGCTCTATGACTTTCCCAGCACCGACAAAGTGAACATAACGTCGTCTTGTACTCAGCCTTGCAGAAAATTCACGACTAGAAGGAAAGAAAAGAAGACCACGAGAAACTCAAAACTGCCCAGTCCAACAACTCTCATCCAGAATCTGGACGTTCCCGGCAAGGAATCACACTACAGGGTCCATCCACCTCGAAAGACGAGTCCAAAACGAAAACTGCGAGGTCAACAAATCCTGAGCTCTTCTTCCAGTTCGGAAAGCATCATCTCGCCGAATGCAAAACTTAAATCGACCATGCCTTGCATCGAAGACGTACGTTGGTCGTACAGCAACGAGGAGTGGTCAGATTCGAGGTATCAAAAAACTTCTGAGGACGAAACGCGAGATGTAAGTACGAAGAAAGTCAGTTTTATATCACCGACACTGTTCTGTTTGCATGTTTTTAGATTATTGTCCAACTGTAGCGCAGTTAAACAGAAAACGAAATGGAATTTCACGCAGTATTTCGGCCGTTTACAAATGCACCTTCGCACTTGAAGTAAAAAACAATCACGCATTCGCTCCCAAGCATTTGCATCCTGCTTCTACGTAATAAGACTTGTACATACATTGAGTCCCCAAAATCAACAACCATATTCAAATGAAAAATGTAGCATATAGAACACTAAATGAAACATTTGCTTCGAAAATTTCTTTATGAGATTTAAATTTGCATTTTATCAATCACTTTTCCTTTAAGTAAAACCACCCTGTATATATAAGCCGTTTTATTTGTCGAAGAAACAGTCACTTGTTTCCAAACTACTATTTTGGGACACCTTGTATATACCAGAGCAATTTTTATAAATGCAAACCTAAAATCTAATAAAACTATCTTTTGCTTGAATTTACTCTCAAAATAAGCTGCTTAATTTGAATAAATCCCAGCAATAGAGCCAGCTAAATTTCATCTAGTTCACATAATAAATAAATATAAACACTTCAATTTTTGTTTCTCTTCTAATAATGTATTTTTACAGGCTGCTAAGAAGGTACGACATTACCCAAAGTCATCAGAAGATCTCACAAAACCCAAAAGAGTCAGCAGGTTAAGAGCAATTGGTCATCAAATAAGGTAAGTGGGACCAAATGAATTAAAACGATGTTTTTTGAAAAATACGTTCATTTTAATTAATTATGAACTGCAAAAATCATCGCTTTATTTCAAATAGTAAACAAAATACATTGAGGTTAAAAGTTTGTTTTGTTTTGAAATAAATCCAAGTAGCAAGTGTATTGCTTCGAAATTGTTTCTACAAGTTACTTTGCAATTAAAATATTAACTTACCAGGTATTGGAAATTAATACAATAGAACAATACATCTTTCCTGGCACAAATATGTATCACAACTTTAACATTTGACTAAACTTTTCAAAGTATTCGACAGCAGTTCTAACAGTACCTACCAACCCAAAAGAAACCAAATCCCAAAAAGTAAAACTGATTAATCATGGTAGCATTAATTGTTAATATAACAAAAATTATCATTAAATCAAATCGCTATGATGATTTTACATGTTTAAACAAGAATTTTGTCAAATATACCAGATTTATAACAAAATCCCTTGTTCATTACATGTAATACCAGAAAAATGATAAAATAATATTTGTATCACCTACTAATCGTGAAACGGCGATTATTAATCGTTTAATGATAAAATTAAGTTTAAAGTCGTTTTGAACCGCTACACTGTACAAGGAATGGCAATAAATGATGAAAAGGAATGGCAAAATGGTCGCCACTTGGAAAAATCATGTTCATGGAAAGCAAATAAACATTACAATTTCGCCATCCAGAAACACATTTAATCAAATATTGCATTATTAATAAACGTACCAATAATTACAACATAATATAAAATGAGCAATTATACACATTTACCTGAAAACTTCTGCACACAGCTATACGGGCAGCGAACACCTAATAATAATGGCGTACACGCGCACATCGTCTTCATCATCGCTAAGTCGCTCCGCCCACGGAAATAACCGATAGGCGGCAAATTTAAATTTACACTGTTTACAAAGTTGTAAAAATATCAAAATTGAAGGCGTATTCGAAGCAAAAACGTAAAATAATGCCGTTACTATATCGTTTTCGACTTCTTAATATACAAATAGAGAATATTAAAATACACCATTAACCTGCTCAAGATCTGAATTTTTAGGTTATAAATTGATTTTGTATTGAAATAAATGAAAGTCATTATTCATTTGTAATAAAATACCTTCGTATATAATTAACAGAAGAACTTACCAATTCATTTATAATGTCTTAAATTTATCTAGGTTTCTACGAAGATCACAAAAAGCATGTTAACTCACTTATTATTTAAAAACAACAACATTATCAGCGGGAAAAATAGAGGGGGGAAGGGATATTCATAAACTTGCATTTTCGCAAAAAAACGATTGAATATACAACTGGCAATGGAAAGTGGTGTACTATTTTCAAAATCACGACAGTAATGACCTACGTTTTCAAATTCACTCTTTAATTATGAACCTGAATATTCATAATAAATATATTACGTAATTCCCTTTACATATGCAACCACGTAAACACCATATATATATAGGAAGAAGCTTTTATTTTATTGATTATTGGAAATTAATCATTACAGACGCATTTTGTTGCAAAAATGCGTTAGAAAAGGCAATTTTAGCCACTAAATTACTTTTGCTAAATAGAGAGGCGTTAATCGTAAAATATGTAAAATATTTTAAGGTTAAAACACAGCACAATAATACCTACTATTTAAACATTAACAAAAAAATAAATTGTTTATTTACTCACCACCAATAAGAAATAATAAGTCCTAGAAAGCAAAATTACTCATTTATATTGGAATTATTATTGGTACTAGATGCACTTCGCCACACTCAATTCCAGCGTATTGTTTACAAATATAGACCAATACACGTTTAGAAATGCATTTGTTTTCCCACCACGCGGGAAGATTCAAATTTCAAATTTAAAAACAATAAAAAATTAAAACAATTACCTACTTTTAAACAAAATACTAGACGCTTGCCTTCACGACTAGTATTTGCAATAGTTCTCTAAAAATACATCTGGGGTATTTAACCCTTTTATTATTACCCAACCAAGGAATAATAAACAAATAATTAATTGTTTATTAAATATTTTTCTCGTTAGATTTCTTCGACGATTAGAGCTGAGTTTAAGAAGAAAAGAAAGAACAATAAGTCCGTCGGATAGCTTCGAAAGCGAAGAAGAATATCCAAGGGTAACATCCCCGCTCATTCAACCCAGTGAAAAGCTGAATGTAGAAATTAGAAAAAGTAAAAGTATCGGTTTTAATCAACCTGTAGTTAAAAATAGACGATACAAAAAGGAAGACACTTTAGCAACAAAAGATAAGATGCAATTCGAAAGGGTTTTTATTACGGGCGGAAGTGGATATTCCGATNCCACTTGTCTAACTAATCCTGAAAAACAACTCCCTGACGTTGTAAATTTCATATTTGTTGCTTAATTAATTAATTCACTTAATTAATAAATATAATCCGATAGGTTTACGTCCCTAGGAGTAATACCTGCAGAAATTTGGACAAATGCGTCGAAGCAAAAGACATAAAATATTTAGACTATAAAAAAAATGATAATAACAAACCAACAAAAGGTTTTTCTGTGCCTGTACGTAAGTAATAAAAATTTGAATCAGACTGTCTACTACGTAGGATGTTTTATAAATTTATAGACTAACGTAAGATGCCATCAGGGGATTCTAGATCCGGACTCAGGGTTTTGCAAGTGCAAACCTGGCTGGACCTCGGTACCTATGAACAAAGACCTATTCGAACCTAGTCTGTTCCAGTTCCACATGTGCAACATGAGGGTCAGTAGCTGGAATGACGTCAACAACAAAAAGATTAAACTCACCCTAATACTCATTGCAGTATGTAAAATTATTCGTTTAGACTTGTCCCTACCATCAAATTTTTCATCTTCGATCGCAGGTATTTGGGGTGATTGTGTCGATTTTCATCATTCTCTTTTCCTTCCTTCTGAGCATCATCAACAGCTGATTGTAATTCATATTTACAAAAAAATATATACCTATATATATATATACACACACACATACATTTACATAATGAGCACATTATTCGTAAATAATAATTCACCAGTGTATTGTAGAATATTTTTTTTTTTGTACATTTACATAATGAGCACATTATTCGTAAATAATAATTCACCAGTGTATTGTAGAATATTTTTTTTTTTGATAATGTAAGCTTGCCAAAGCATAATGAGCGGCTTCTATTAATTAACTCGAGCTTATAGTTGAAGTAACAGCTTTTATAATAGTCGTAATGTTATAATTTTCGGTTGTGTGTGAATTAGAATATAGTTACCCACGTGATTCGTCGTTTACTGTACATTCTCTATCTGCAAGCACGTTCCGATGTACGATTCACGCACTCTAAAGTGGCGAACTTTGCTCAGTCTGCGTAGGAAGTTATGGCACATCGCGGCTCTTTTGTTTTAACCGATTGTTAGGGCGTGGTATCTACTTACATACATACATACATACATAATAAAAGACTAATACTAATAATAAAAGATTGCCAATTTAGTTTGAATCGTGTATCTATACATTGTTCGTTCCTTTTTCTTAACTTACGGGTATGCTGTGTAGCAAAATGGCATCGCTGTGATAGAAACGACCACCGGTGGGTCTTTAAAAAAAAAAAATGTTTTAAAAGATCCGTAAGCAATATTGGAGGGATCAAACCCATAACAGCACAATTTCTAAGCAATTATATTCTACTATTGTCGTAAGTGTATCTAACATCTTGCACATTTATAAATAATTACTACTAAACCTATCTAGTAAATTAAACTTCCAATTTATTTGTTATTAGTTGCAAAAATTAAAAACCATTTAATAAATTGGAAGGTACACTAAAAACGAAAAAGATTTTTTTGGGTTTCTCTGTTAATTTATTACGATAATTATCATCATTACCTTCCAATTTATAATTACATTTTAATTGTTTCTAATATGTACGTATTTCGTGTGATTCGAATTTACATTGCGTTTTAAAATTAATAACTAATTTTAATTATTGAGTGACCGAAAATTATACGAAGCTAGGTGATATAATTTAGATAATGTTAGAAAGTTATCTAACAAAAAAAAAATGATAATTCTAGAGCACTTTCTTGCTCCTTTTCTAAATTCATCTGCATGTTCAAGTTTTGTTGTTTGATGTATTGTTATATATAAAAAATTATTGAAAAACAACTAGTTTATTTTTCATCCCTTGACCATGCGGAATTTAAAAGTCAAAACAGTTAAGAAAAAATAAATTAGATAAAATAATTCAAAGTGGTCTGTATTCTGTCGAAACTGCCAGACGCGGATAGCGATTTCGATCTTTTTTTGGATCTCATCAGCGCGTCGCAGGCAGCTCCGACAGAACACAGACCAACTTTTACCTGCTGTCTTAACAGTGCGTTTTAGAAAATACTACAAATGGCGCAGTAAACGCCATCTGTAGCACGATGCTACATTTTAGGATTACGTATGCTCCAACAAGGTCCACTTGTGTGGATATCTACTTGCTGAAAACGAATCCTGGCGTAGCCAACCTCAACGTGATAGGCACGTTAGCTTAATCAAATAAAATAATTCAATTCAAAAATAAATTGATTACGTATACTTTTTATTGCCTTGATTTGTATTTCAAATAATGTCATTAACGTCAAATTTTTTACCTGGTAGAAACAGAACTTCGCTGAGAAATGGTGAAAGTGGAGTGTAATTTTTTAATTCATGCTCCTGTTATTTTTCATTTTCACTTTTTTCTGCCCGTCGTCGAATAAAATCCTGGTTAAAGAAGCAAAGGTTTCGCCCATAACGCAAGGAAACGTAGCCATGACTTTTTGTAAGGAACAAAAACCCTTGCCCAGGGAATTCCCCACATCGAACAATCTAACGTAATTTTTGTAGACATTGTAGTCGAAAACGTAAGTAACTCTACCTATTCAATTTCCACAAAAATGACAAGATGTTGCGAAGATATTTCAAAAAACGAAAAAGACTGCAAACTCATGAGTCTACTCGGTGGCGAATCAGGAAATATACCCGCTGGTGTCACACGAAAAATTTTATTATTATATCCGAACATGGTAGGTACATACCCAACAAATCACCCATATGTATGTACATATAAATTTTATAGTATTCACACAACAGAAAGGGACAGTGTACCATTTCAGTAAAGGCAGTTGACCCAAAAAATAAAAAAGAAATTACCGTAAACACAAAAATTAATTTTAATACTTATCTTCGTCATCTGAAGTCTATTAAAGGTAAGGCGTTTGAATTATACGTATAAATCTATCTAATACACGCAATTAGGTTTAAGAAAATGTAAAAGTAGAGATTTGGACCCCTATCAGGATTGTAATCCTGTGGACTGTACCATGAAGTACCTTGGTACCAGAAATTTTTTCAACAGTAGAAGAAAACGGTGCCAAATTGTCCCCACTTGTCTAACTAATCCTGAAAAACAACTCCCTGACGTTGTAAATTTCATATTTGTTGCTTAATTAATTAATTCACTTAATTAATAAATATAATCCGATAGGTTTACGTCCCTAGGAGTAATACCTGCAGAAATTTGGACAAATGCGTCGAAGCAAAAGACATAAAATATTTAGACTATAAAAAAAATGATAATAACAAACCAACAAAAGGTTTTTCTGTGCCTGTACGTAAGTAATAAAAATTTGAATCAGACTGTCTACTACGTAGGATATTTTATAAATTTATAGACTAACGTAAGATGCCATCAGGGGATTCTAGATCCGGACTCAGGGTTTTGCAAGTGCAAACCTGGCTGGACCTCGGTACCTATGAACAAAGACCTATTCGAACCTAGCCTGTTCCAGTTCCACATGTGCAACATGAGGGTCAGCAGCTGGAATGACGTCAACAACAAAAAGATTAAACTCACCCTAATACTCATTGCAGTATGTAAAATTATTCGTTTAGACTTGTCCCTACCATCAAATTTTTCATCTTCGATCGCAGGTATTTGGGGTGATTGTGTCGATTTTCATCATTCTCTTTTCCTTCCTTCTGAGCATCGTCTACAGATGTTTGAATTCGGGTCAAGAACCAATAACCATATTCGGAAACGGAACTGGAAGTACTTCGTGTAGCAAAAGGACCGACGCAACGACAATAAAAACCCCAAGAACATCTGCTTCGTCCTGTATGGATTCGCGTTCTCCTCAGAGTAGAAAATCATTTTGCTCTTGCTCCAAATCAGTCTGTAGCGCCCAATCGAGGCAACCAAACCCTCCTGATACATGCCAAGATAAAGAGCAGGATGCTCTTTCCAAATCAAGTCCAGACTTGTACGAGAATAAAAACCCATGCAACGTAATTGAGAAGGAATGTTTACCACGAAAAAAACAGAAACGGAAATGTTGTGAAGATAAGCAAAAAGAGAACTGCCCGAGATCAGATGATTTGTCGTTGACGAGCTCTCAAACCAGAGAACAGAAATGTGAAAATTATCTTCCCACTTTGGAGTGTAATAGCAAATTGACCTGGTCAAAATACAAATGGATTCTAAGTAAAAAATCGTGTTCCTCGAGTGCATGCCCGTCCCAGAAGCCGTGCAAGAAGAAGGCGCCTAAGCCCAAAAGAAAGAAATGTAAACGTAAATGTAAGCCCAAGAAGTGTAAGAAGCCGCAAATTGAAGAGCAAACAGCGAAAGAGAAATGTGAAACTTTCCTTCGTAATTTAAAGTCTACTGATAGCATACCTTCATTGGTAGGATCTTCATGTTCTTCCTTATACAGGGAATCGACATCGTGCAAGTCAGTGAAAAAGAAGAAGTCTAAAAACGTTTCTTCAAAAAAAAAAGCACAAAAGTGCGATTGCGCCACTAGTTTCACCAGCGTTATTTCTAGTGAAGACGACTGTCAAGATAAGGGGAACACCTCACTTTACATAATGAATGAAATCCAAAAAGATCAAACCCCTACAATCAGTTTGGAAAGTACCAAAAAATCAAACTCCGAAAAACAACCCTTTCACGTGTTCCATTCCAAACAAGTACACCGTGTAGAAAACCAAAATGTCTTAGAAATAATTAATAAATTAATTGAAAATGCAACTCCAAATCGCAAAACAAACAGGCATTACTGTTCTGAGCCTCCTTGTTCCATTTCAAACACCGATATTACCTGGGGCTCCTCGTTCGAGTCCAAAAGTGTAACCACCGACGCACAAAATAATACAAAAACAAAGGAGATGTCTAATGGAAAAACGAGCTCGACTTCTATATTTGGAAAACGCCCTAATTTTCATTTAATGGAAATGATAGAGCTCCAGTTAACGTCAGAACACGATGATGAAGAAACCCACGCCGATGAAGAAGCCAAACCCATCGTTGAAGTCGAATCGTTGAAACCCATAGTCGAAACCTTAAATATAACAAGACCTCAAGATTTTTCGACGTCTGATACTTCAAATTTCACACCCTTAGACGAATGTAAAGAAATACACCTATCTTTCGGTACAGCAGCCGAATTGACACAAAAGAAACGACGAAAAATACCTTTTCTACATCACAAGAAATATTCCAAAATTTCTACCTCTTCGACTTCCTCCAGTCAAAGATGTAGTCCAAAAAGCATAAAGTCAAAACGGAGAAAATCAAAATCTACATCGAAAAATCTCCAAGAAAACATCCCCCTTTGTTCCCAAAGAAAAGACAAGGTATTTCAATTGCTGTCCTCTTCCGAAGACACTGAGAACTCAAATTTGGAGACAAAAAGTAAAAGACAGACCAAATTTTATGGTTTAAAAAACAAATTTCGCAAATATCTTTTTACCAATGGAAAAGAAAAAATCCCCGATCCTGCAAACGCCTCAAGCTGGACTTCATTCAAAGAAACTGTATCTTCTACTTCACATAATAAAACCCTAAATGATATTAGCAACGTGCCCAACACTTCTCGTGAAGATACTCCATCAAAATTACAAAATACAGTGGAAGACAATTCTAATAAAGAAAGTCCAATTAGAACACCAAAAACAACGAATATTCCAGTTCCTGTTTCATCTACATTAGTTAACAAATCGTCATCAACGACTTCTCCAAGCTTTTCTCCGAGATCATGCAAAATTCCCGGCCCTATTTTTAGCAAACGTAGTCCAAAACAGCAAAAATCTTCTTCCCCGGGACCATCCAGTCGTTTCTATGTAGATCCTGATTATACAAATGCTCAAAACACGAAAGCAGAACCGAAATAACTAATTAAATAATTTTGCGACAGGCTTAAAAAGAGATAAGCGCGTAAAAAAATTATTTTATTTATTATTTGACTATAAACCAATAATTGTATGTATTTTTACTTCTGTATATTCTTCCCCCANTGAACTTCTGAATATAAAAACATTATTCGTAAGGGTGGTTTAAATAAAAATTTAATATTGGGCTATTGGAGCATCACGCTTATATTTTAAGCAATACGGCGGTGTATGTTGGGTTGCATATCCTCAAATAAAATAATCTTTAAAGCTCATATCTAATAAGAATGCTACTAATAAATAATAAATTAACAAGTAAATAAAAACTTCCTATATTTTTTCATTAAAGTTGCCCCAATGCACAAGCCATAGATTGTGTTGGTAACTCTGGCAATAGTGTACTTGCTGGAGGTAAAAGTGTGTGTTGAGTTCTCATGGTCAGGTTTTTTATTATTAATAAACGTTTTATAACGATAGTTTATCTAAGAGACGTTTATTATCTACACCTACTTAAAATAAGCTTTACTTTTTTGTTCGTAGGGCCAATTACAACAATATATCAACATTCTAACAAAATCAATTGAACCCCCAATTTTTTATGTTAATTTTTAATCCTCAAGCCACTTTTGCTGTTACGCCTTTGGCAAAAATTATGAAGACATGAATTTTATTAATTTTGTACCTTCAGTATAGGCAACTCAAATTACATTATAAATTCAAACGAGTATACGAAATCTAAATACCGCTAATTACCTCTTTTGAGGACATTTGTTTCGATTTTCTTCAAAAACTATGTCCGAAATGAATAATACAATCAATATTGTCTCTACATTTACAAAATAAACAATTATAGTTTCATAATATAACAATAAGAAATTAAACACTTAAGAAGTTTCACTTACCATATATTTATTAGATCTCGACGACGTTTCGTTCAATAGCATTTTCAAGAGGAATCAGAACAGTAATTTGTTTTGTAGTTATGCTATTTGATTATTTCACAAAAAATGCGTCAAACAAAGTTTGAATTTTACAGTTTTATAATTCGTAACAACTTCAGCAGCATACAGAGACGTCATATGCACTATATAAAAATTAAAAACAATTTTCCCGCCTTTGTTTTTCAATTTTCACTTTTGAAATCGTCTTATTAGCGCAAATTCTATATTACTTTTTCAAAAACTGAAACCACATATGCAACCCTACGTACATATATANTATATATATATATATATACAACAGATGTAGGTAGAAAAAGTGAAAGATGTAATGTAAAGAAATGAAAATAAATCATTTGTAAAAATGTGTAAAAAGGAATTTAAAGTAGCAAATTAATTGTTACAAATAGACATTTTTTTAAGATATTCAATTTATTATTTATGGTTCGTTTTAATAAATAATTTTCCTAAGTGTGACTTTTATTTTTAACAGTTCTGTTTATTTTCAAAATGTTCTGAATTGATTTAAAAGTTTCAATATTTTTTAGTTTGCGAAAAACAATTGTGCTTTACTTGCATGTTTCATTAAAAATAATACATCTAACATTTGGCTAAATAAATGAATACTCCACGATTAAAGAGTTATATACTCATCTATGGTTATCTATAGTCAATGACATAGATTATAGATTTAGTATATATCATTGAACTAGACTACAGATGTTCCCCTCCACTTCAATGGTATATATTCTGTAATCTATGGTCAATGAGTAGAAGCATAGATATTAGGTATACAAAGAGATTATCTATGACAAAGAGTAAAAGTAATAATAAGAAGAAGTTGTAAGGTTATATTTATAGTATTCGCTTAGATACCTATCTTAGAATTTAATTAAATACAATTAAGATATTGATATAGTAATTAATTTAGAAAGCAGAGCAAAAGAATCAGTGAGAATTTGAAATTGTGGTTTCAATTTCTATTTTTAAGAAACTTTAAGTAACATATTGCCATCTTACATCATCAATAACAGCCACGACCTGTTTTGTATTGTCCAATTTTTTATAAGGACCAATTTTTACTAAAGCCTTCCCTATGACATCTTTAACTTTGGGAACTTCAGCAGAAGGAATTTCTATCGAATTTAATTGTTCGTTTTGGGAAATCAGTGACACAAGAGTCCTTTTTCCAATTGCTTTCTCCCTTTCCTCTCTATAACGTCCAAAGTGAGGGAGTTTCTATAAGCAAACCAGAATTAACATCGAGTCCATACCAATTTTATTTATTCTACCTTTCCATCTTTTCCATAAACGCTTTTTACAGGCTTTCCTAGCTGATGTTTGAACGTCGGTGGACTCTGACCGTCCCACCCCTGCAACTTGTCATCCAAATACAGTAACGCCCTGAGTCCTGAACAGTAGTCTTGGATGAGGGTGAAATCCTGGTTTTGTATGGCGCTTCCCACTTGTAATACTGACGCTCCACATTGAAGAAATTGATAAGCTGTCTCCGCTGAATCAATTCCTCCAATACCTGTTTTAGTCGAATGGATCAATTAAATCCTGTTTTGATTAGAAATATTTCTTCGACTTGTGGTAAGTTACCTAAAATGGGAAAGTCTGGAAGAGCCCTTGCAATAGCAGATATATCTCTCAGGGCTATTGGTCTAATAACGTTTCCACTTACACCCCCATACGTTGTCCTTTTGTCAGTTCCAACAGCGGGCCAAGGAGTCCCATCGCCTTTCAAACCCATCAGACCAGACACAGTGTTTATCGCAGCAACGCCATCAGCACCACCTGATTTAAAAGACAAAAATAATAATAATAATAATCAAAACAACCCCTGCATTAAATCTCTCTCAAATTATTGGTAAAAATTTATCCTAAAAATATCACCTTCATATGCTGCTTTTGCAATTTCTACTATTTCCGTAATATTGGGGGTAAGTTTTATAAAGACAGGAATTTTAACAGCATTTTTAACCCATTTAGATATTCCCTTAACCAATTCCGGTTTCTAAAATGATCTTCTATTGTAGAACATATGCCAAAGGTTCAAATTTAAGGGAGAATTTACCTGGCCGCAAGCCAACCCCATTCCAGATTCACCCATCCCATGGGGACACGAAAGATTACATTCCAGCATGTCAGCACCAGCCCTTTCTGCCTTTTGGGCCAATTCCACCCAATCGTCTTCGTTAAAAGAGCACATAATGCTCGCAATTAGAATCTAACACCAACAAATAAAAACATGCAATCATCAAAATATCAAATTAATCAAAGATAAGATAGTTACGTGATCGGGGAAATCCTGTTTCAATTCCGTAATACTTTGGCACCAGTAGTCTGCACATTTTTCCGAAATGAGCTCGATGTTTAAGAAAGAACTTTGCTGGGGACCAAAAAGGGGCCCATGTGTGGTACCCCTCACTATTCGAGGAGACACATTCGTAACCACGTCCTGCAGAGAACATAGTGAAGCATATTGTATAGTGATTTGAAATTATTACCTTGTCCAAAGAAAAAGTTTTGGTAACTGCAAAGGCCCATCCCTGTTCAAAAGCCCTCCGGATCATTGCCGTACTGGTAGCAGGGGGAGCCGAAGCAAGTCCGAAAGGATTTTTGAATTTCACTCCACAAACTTCCACCGACAAATCAACGTTATCGATTTCAGTGTAGAAGAGTGGAAGTTTTGGTGGGGAATCAAACGATAGGCCCTGTGGGATCGATATCATCAATAAAATCAATACTTGAATTAAAAAGAGGAAAATTTTTATACTTGTAGAGAGCAGTGAATGTACCAGGCTGCTATTTTACCATCATTTACGGATTCGACTGTAGTTTCTGCAATCCCTGCAACATCCCCGCCGCACCAGACTTGTGGGTGACTTGTTAACATTGTATTGAAGTCTATTAAGGGCACATTTTTCTGGTCAAGTTCCAGTGGTGAGAGGGCTTCTATAACTGAAAACATTTTTCAAAATTTTGGTCAACATCCGCCTCGAAAATTTGAAAAACAAATTACCATCACGATCCTCTAAACCACAACCGAAGGCGGAAATAATGAAATCTGCCTTTAAAGTGGTCAGTTGATCCTCGTCTTCGATCCAGTGACCATTTTCATCTTGTTCGGTTCTTTTAAATGTAATCGAAGTTATTTTACCTTTTTCGTTCAGATTGACTTTGTGTGGTGATAAAAAACCTATCAGTTCGCACTTTTCTTTGACAGCAACTTCCATCTAACGATAAATAAATAATTCGGTAGGATTTGTAAACAAATTTGGTTCAATTTAATTAATTGTTTTCAGCAAAAGCTAATTAATAGCGCACGATCCTGTAGTCAGTTATATCGTCTGCTCCCGCGTTTGAATAGAGAGAGAAAGTATTCGGAAAATAAAGGACAGAACATACGCTCGCTTTTATGTCTGTTTAAATACTACTAACAAAAATATGTACAGTTACGAGCAAAAGTTTTGTACAAGACATTGACAAATTAAATTTTAAACTTACCTCTTCGGGAACGGCTCTGATATTGGTGAACCCTTTCCTAAACACGACAAACACTTTCTTTGCCCCACACCTCAAGGCTGAAGTGGCGCAATCAAACGCTGTATCGCCTGCCCCCAAAACGATAACTTTGCCAAACAATTGTGGAATAATTACAGTCGTTGACGTTTTACAAACGCAAAGTCCATTGGTTTTAACTTTTGCAACTTCTGGTAAAAAACTCTTGGACGTGTAGTAACCATTCTCAGGCGTAAGCCCTTTGAAAACCGGAGATGTTTTTGGTGTTGGCAAACCGATACCGACGAAAATCGCTTTGGTACCGTCATTTAACAATTTTGTAATGGTTAGATCTTTTATCGATAACTGACGACCAGTTTCTATTTTAACTCCTAAATCTTGTACCAACTGTAGCTCAAATTTAACAGCCGTCGCTGGTAAACGGTACTGCGGAATTTCCGTAGAACTTTAACAACACAATTTTTATATAAGATTTATTTATACGAAAAGAAATTTATTATTACCTCAAACCACCCAGAATGTCTTGTTTTTCGTATATTGTAATGTTATTATATCCCAATCGGCCCAAAAATGTTGCACAAGATAATGAAGCCGGTCCTGCCCCAAATAAAACAATGCCAGCATCCGCATTCTTAGGAGCTACCACTTTTGGATCTCGCATTTGCTTTATGTTCATTTTACTAAACACCTGCATATAATTGTTTATTTTTTTTTTTTTTATGCGTATTTGTGTGATATTACCTCAACACAAAATTGTTGAAGTCCGCCTATATTTATTGGGCCTTCTTCAGTGGCTTGCAAATTACAGCCCCCTACGCACAAGTCACTTGTGGGACATACCATACCGCATGTTAACCCCAATGGATTGTCTGATAAAATTGCCTTAGCCGCCCCATAGTAGTTCTGTAAATTTTCGTATCTATTTTGTTTTATTTTTTATAATATTGTAATTAATTTTATTTGCTTCAATTACCTTATTGGCAATGCTGGTTATGAATGATTTGATATCTATTTGGGTGGGACATGATTTCTGGCAAGGTGCATCGGCACATTTGAGGCATCTGATGGCCTCCCGCAAGGCACCCCTTTCACTTAGGGTTGTCGGCTTTATGTCGTCAAAATTGTTTTCCAAATTAAGACATGTCTAAAATTTATTTATTCGATTGTTTTTCACAAAATTACAATAACGACGTATGTATTAATCTTACTGAACATTTATTATCCTCATTTCTTTTCCAATGAGCCTTTTTTATTTTCGTCGTTTTAGTTGGAACAACATTAGGATGTTGTTGAACACGAGCATTTAGAGAAAGTAAATTCTAAACAAAAAAATTTTTCAAAACCCTATAAATTATATGTTTTATTTATATTATCACAATTTTTATAAGAAAAAAAACAATTTAATTGACACCCTATCCTGTTTTTATTTAATTTTTCATGTGTGAGTAATTTCTCTAGTTACGCCACTGGTAAAACCGTGGGAAAATATAAATATTTTTATTAATTTTGTGATGTCAGCATAGGCAACCCAAATTACACATGCGATTTAATTTACATATATCTTAATTAGTTAGGATCTTTAGCTATATTTTTCTTAATAAAAATGCAAATATCTTTCCAGAAAAACATTAGAAAATGGTAAAATCGTTCATGTTATCTCTAAAATAAAAATAGAATAAATTACTGCGTTATAGTTTGAAGTTAACGATAAGTAGAAAGTAGGTACACAATGGAATGCATAAGAAAATGAAAAAAGAAATATCAGAAACAGAGATTTTCAATATTTTTACATATAAATAAATAAATTAACATTTTCAAACCAAAATTTCTAATTCTTACCTCTATATCGGGTAAATCTACACTTATTTTTGCCATAACATAAAAATTAAAAAATTACAAACTATAAATCTTGAGTTATTTAAACAATAACCAGCAGCAAATACAGAACACAATTGTGTAACTAAATAGATAAAATATATTAAAGATAAGAATAATTCTTTTTAGCAATTTTAGATTAGCATGTAAACGTCGAACTACTTATTACGCTAATTCTGTTTATAATAAGATCATATTTCTTTTCTTTATTTTAATATTGCTGAGTATTAAAAATTTGAAGAGTAATTAACTTATAATCTAATCTTAATATTTAAAATAGGTATAACTTATAATTCTTAATGGCATAATAAATATCATTATATATTAGTAAGCAATCGCTGTTTACTAATTAATTTAATTTATATTTAATGAACAGTTTAATGTTAAATGCAGTTAAATGGGACAAACTTAGTGACATTTTAATATTAAAGTTGACCCAATGCACAAGCCATAGATTGTGTTGGTAACTCTGGCAAGAGTGTACTTGCTGGAGGTAAAAGTGTGTGTTGAGTTCTCATGGTCAGGTTTTTTATTATTAATAAACGTTTTATAACGATAGTTTATCAGATTTAGGTTTAAAACGTGACTCGATATGCTGGGAAATAGTGATACACTCCGTGCAAGTCAACTGAAAACTGTTTATTTTGAGAAATTCTAATTATTTTGTGGCCTTGTACTGTGCTGGTTTAGCGAGTGACACACACACCCAGAACTGATAATAGTCAAATAAAATAAAAAACTTATTACACAGCTAATATCTAGTTTTGTAATCAACTTATCAAAATGCAAGCCATCAAGTGTGTGGTTGTTGGCGATGGGTAAGTAGAATGTCTTTTTCTTTCATTACATTTTGCATGCTTCAATAAGTAGTGAATATTTAAATGTGCCCATTAAGAAATACAGTATGAAGTGTGGGCGTGAAGTTTCTTTAAAGAATTATTTCTAGTAGTGCATATTACGAAATTTATGAAAATGTAAGCCTTTAATCTATATTCGATTGGTTTATGACCACCTGTCATATCTATTTTTATTCCATTCATAAACATAAAATTTTGAACGTTTTTACTACAGATTGAATTACATAGGTACCTAACAGCATTTATGAAATATTCTTATAATTAGTATCCTTTTGATCATCAATTGTTTATCTACCAACCTTAAATGATGATTTATATATTGTCTTCTTTTCCCGTCTGAGAAAACAATGCTGTTGCTTTTACAGACTGATGAGTTATTCATTTTAACGTTTTTGTTTTAGTGTTTTTCAATTGTATATTACAAGAAGTGTTTTTCAATGTTACAGAGCTGTGGGTAAAACTTGCTTGTTGATCAGTTATACAACTAATGCATTTCCTGGAGAGTACATACCCACTGTTTTCGACAATTACTCTGCTAATGTAATGGTTGATGGCAAACCTATTAACTTAGGCCTGTGGGATACAGCAGGTCAAGAAGACTATGACAGATTACGTCCCCTTTCCTACCCACAAACCGATGTTTTCTTAATATGTTTCTCACTTGTTAATCCTGCTTCTTTCGAAAACGTTCGTGCAAAGGTAAAGTCTTAATTTTTATTTTTATTGAATTTATACAGAATGAGGAATTAAATGTTTTATACTAACTTTATGATAACAAACAATTACATCTTAAAGATTCTTTTATTATTTTCAATACAGGTTTATGAATCTGCTGTGGCAGTTGCCCACTTAAATTAACTAATGTAAATGTTGATTAATTGGTATTTTAATTGTGTGATGATATTATATTTTGTCTTCTTTTCCCGGCAGAACTGATTGTTGTTGAGAAACATAATCTGAAATGTTTATTTTACCAGTTGATATGTTGATTTTTTGAATTTTGCATATTTATTAGATTAATATGTTTCAGTGGTATCCTGAGGTACGACACCACTGTCCCAGCACCCCAATCATCTTGGTGGGTACGAAATTAGATCTACGTGACGATAGGGCTACCATAGAGAAACTTAAGGACAAAAAACTAACCCCCATCACTTATCCCCAAGTGAGTACTTTTCTCTTTATTTTAATTTAATATGATGAACTGAACTTAAAAGGTCATTGAATTATTAAGTCCTAAACTTTTTAGTTAATATCTGTTCTTTTATAGGGCTTAGCAATGGCTAAAGAAATCAGTGCTGTTAAATATTTAGAATGTTCTGCTTTAACGCAAAAGGGACTAAAAACGGTATTCGACGAGGCCATAAGGGCTGTTCTGTGTCCTGTAATGCCTGTCAGACCAAAACGTAAATGTGTGATCTTGTAATCAAAATTCTCTTCGATAAGAAAAGAAAAACATAATAAATAATATAAGTATATCAATTTCAAGAAAGGGATAAAGAAAATCGATGCAAGCGAATAATTTAAACGCTGAATTCCTTTAAGATGATGCCGATGTAAGTCTGTGTATTTAAAATAACAAAAAAAAGAGGAAAAGGAAAAGATAGAATCTTAGGTGAAGTCTTAAAACGCTTAGGAAATAATATTTAATGGGATAAAAGAGTAATTGTGTGCTTTAATTAATTTTAAAGTCACCAGTAGATTAATAACAGTAAAAAATTAGAATGTACGTTTTCTTTTCCTAGTTACACTTGCCACGTTAAAAAATAATATATTTTCTATGAAAATAATAAGAAACGTTTTTACACCTAAGATTCGGTTTTTTTTTTCTTTTTTGTATTTTTTTTTCTTTAAATTTGACATAGATGGAATGTGTAAAGTGTTACTGCATCAGGTATAAGAAAATAATAATAATTGTTGCACAAAGTATTGATATATTTGTATATTTAACAATTTAACCGCCAGTAATTATTATTATTGATCGTTTTTAATGTTCTCTTTTTGCAATTAACAAAAATGGAAAGATAACAAACTCTTTATATCGTTGTTTTTTATTTTTTAATAATGATTATGTTCTCGTTGTTTGAAGATAATGATCATTTACTATAATTAATAGAAAAAAGTAATAATAAAAAAGAAATTA